CTCCATCTCCTTTCAGGGAAGGTAGCATTCCTGGTTGCAATAACATCTGCCTACCACGTGTCTGAGATTAGGGTGCTCACCTCGGAACTGCCCTATATAGAATACTACAATGGACCTCGAGAGGTCATCAAGTCCAGTCCCCTGCCCTCACAGCAGGTCTTTTACAAAGACAAGGTCCAGCTGTGGCCACACCCAACTTTCCTGCCCAAGGTGATTAGGAAGTTTCATATGGTATTTACTAGCCTTTTTTTTCCTCCTCAAAGCTGCATAAGTCAAAGGAGCGTTTGTTGCATTCCCTAGGTGTCAGAAAAGAGTTAGCCTTCTACCTTGAAAGGACCATGCCATTCCACAAGTCAAAACAGTTGTTCATCGCAGTGGCCAACAGGATGAAAAGCCATCCCATATCCACACAAAGAATGGATCACTGCCTGCATTCACTGCTTCTATGGTCAGACAAAGGGGCTCCCTTCTCCACTGCTCACTCATGCACGGTGCAAGCTTCTTGGTCATCTTTCCTAGCCCATGTGCCTATGTAGGGCATTTGTAGGGTGGCCTTCTAGACACCTGTCCATATGTTTATATTCCATTCATGTGCTTGCTCTGCAGGCCAAGGACAATGCTGGCTGTGGGAGAGAAGTGATGCAAACCACTAGACTGAATTCTGAGCCTACCTCCTGAGGATACTGCTTGTGAGTCACCTACAATGGAATTGACATGAGCAAGCCCTTGAAGAAAATGGGTTACCTACCTTTTCATAACTATTGTTCTTCGAGATGTGTTGCTCATGTCCATTCCATTACCTGCCCTCCTGCCCCTCTGTTGCAGTTGCCAGCAAGAAGGAACTGAGAGGGCTTTGGGCTGGCAGCACCTCTGATGCTGATGCATGAGTGTAGCACTCAAAGGGGTGCCACAGCTGACCCTACAGCAAATATCTCAGACAATTGTGCATGTGTCCACATGCACAACTGGAATAGAATGGACATGAGCCATCTAGAAGAACACCAATTACGAACAAGTAGGTAACAAGGTTTTTTGTGAGGAGTAGAGGGATTGGGCATTAGCAACTGGTTTCTGTGAAATAAACAGGCAATTAGGTCATATTTGGTTCCTATAGAAAAAGAGACATAGAATCCTTTGTAAGAGAAACTTCTGTGTAGCCAAATTTGGGGAACAATCTGTGTTAATGCAGAAAATGTGTGATCATCAATAAACAGAATAGAAGTGTGAAATATACAGTGTCATAATTTGCTAGGGCTACACCAACATGGTCAGGGATGGAGCCACATCTGACTACCAGGGGTATGTCTAGACTACATCCCTCTGTCGCCAGAGGCATGTAAATTAGACAGACTGACATTGCATTTTACGAGGCATAAGGGATCAGCCGACAAAGGCTTTCTTTGATGTCCGATCCCTGTCTTGACAGCCGCTTTTTACCCACAAACTGCTGACTCGGCAAGACACGGAGGCCATTTTTATTGAAATGAAGCGTGGGAGATTTAAATCCCCGCTTCATTTGCAATGTTGGTATGTCGCCAGAGGGATGTAGTCTAGACATACCCCAGAAGCTGGGAATGGGAGACAGGTGGATCTTTCCATAGCTGCCTTGTTCTATACACGCACCCTAAAGCTGTGGTTGGAAACAGGATACTTGGCAAGATGGACCTTTTGGCTTCTGTTGTAACATGGGATCACAGTATGGTAAATATAAAGAACTATTGCACCAGGGCAGAGTCATGGATTGTAAGGTGCTGGGTAACTTTACTCAGCCTCCTAGGACCCCTGATGGTTTTGGTCAGCACTGCTGCCTGGGCAGTTAAAAGTCCCATTAGACATGCTGCTTGGCTAAGGCTCGGTTGTGGCCTGCTCTTTGAACACCACGGGGCTAGTCCCATTATGTTCTGTCACTGCAGAAGTGACTGGCAGCAGGTTCAACACCTATGTGGGGGGCGGGGGGCTGCTGCCTCCATCCGAATCGCTGGCTCCACACTTCCATTGAAAAGGAACTGGCCAATGGGAGCTGGGTGGTGGAGCCTCTGGGTGAGAGCTTCATGGAGCTGCTTGCGTGCCTCCACCTAGAAGTCAGCCCTGCTGCTTACCACTTCTAGTGTGCAGCATGGTCTGCGATACCAGGAGAGGCAGAAAGCCTGCACTAGTGCCCCCCCCCGGCTTGTGTCACTGACCAGGAGTCACTGAGGCCCCCTCGTACACCTCAATCCCCTCAGGCCTGACCCCATCCCAGAGCCTGAACCCCTAGTTTAGAGCCCTGACCCAGATCCCCCTTCTGCATCCTGAGCCCTTCATTCCCTAACCCATCCTGATGGGGTGTGGGGAAGTGCCGGTGATGGGAGAACCTGCTGGGGAGTGCAGCGGGGAAGCCGCGGGAGCAGGGCGGCCAGTCCGGAGCGGCGAAATGGCTGCGGAGGAGGGTCTGGCACCGGTGCAGGTGCACTTGGCATGGGACCGGCTGGCCGGGAGATGCAGCGGGGTGATGTCACCCACCGGTGTGGCGCCCACCACACAAAAAGGTTGGGGACCACTGAGCTAGGGGATTGAATTTTGTCCTTCTAGTGTAATAAATAAAAGCACTGCTTATCTGTAGTTGTAGATGTCAGGGAAAAGATATTGGCAGACAGATTAAGGAGGTGGAAATACATATTTTTTAAAAAAGTGTTTACCACTGAGTTTTTAGTGTATTTGTGTTATGAAATGGGCTGTTTTGTTTCAGAATAAAACCTCCCTATATAGTGAATGCAAATGTGTGTGAAAAGGTTCACTGACATTGACAAAAGTGGTTTGCTAAATCCAGACCGATTGATTTTTCAAAAATCTCCTGACTGCTCTTTTAAGATCCACACACACACACCAAAAAAAAGAAAAGCTGTTGTGGCAAAAATTTATCCAATTCTGACATATAGATAATGGCTTCAGAAAACTGGTTTAGAAGTAAAGAAGTCACAGAAATAGGAAAAGAGTATTACAGTGTTAAAATGAAATCCACTGTACTTTTATCTGAACTGTGCTTTACAGTTATGCAAAAGGATACTATTCAGAGGAGAAGAGCTTCAAACTAAATAAGAGCATTGGTAGTGTTGGATCAGACTGGTGCTTTATTTAGTCTAGTATCCTATTTCCCATTTCTCACAATGACCTACCGCAAGATGCTTGAAAGTGCAAGAAATCCCACAGTGGACATTTAATGAATAATCCTCCCTAGAAGGCAAGTTTCTTCCTAACTTCCTGCAGATAGTGGTTGATTTATGTCTGAAGTCTGAGTGCTTGTGTCACTACTTTAAGAAAAAAAAAAGATTTTTTTCCATGTACAGTAAAACTCCAATAGTCCGGCATCCAATTGTCCGGCACTCCCGATACTCTGGCATCAAAATGTCAAGTGCTCCCATCCAGCTGATTAAAAAGCCAGCTGCTCAATACCCAGACCAAACATAAGGTTGGGGGGGAGGGAGTGGGATCGGGTTACAGCATGGAGAAAAGCGTTTTGCTTCGAGCGAAGGGGAAAGAGGAGGGGGATTGGGTTACAGCAAGGAGAAGGGAAGAGGAAAGGAGAGGGGAGGGGGACGGAGATCGGGTCCCGGCCAGCTGTTAAGCCATGCAGCTGTACCGGGACCTCCCAATACTCCGGCATATCCAATAATCCGGCACCACCTAGGTCCCAAAGGTGCCGGATTATCAGAAGTCTACTGTAACTATCTAATCGTTTCTGGAATACAGCCATGCTTTTGCAGTCAATATCTTGTGGCAATGAGTTCCGGAGGTTAAATATAGGCTCTTTTAAAAATGTATTTCCTGTATCAATCCTAAATTTGTTACTGAATGTTTTATTATCTGTGCATACTATATGAAAGATGATAAAGAAGAGTACCTGATTTGCTTACCCGGCATATCCTATCCCCTTTTAGTCTTTCTTTATCTAAAATAAATTGTCCCCATCTTTTAAATCGTTTTGTGTACAAAGACACTTTCTGAATTATTTTTGTTGCCTATCTCTGAATCCCTTCTGAAACTCATCTACCCTTTTGAGATTGGGTGACCACAACTGAACCTAGAATTCCAGGTGGGACTGTACCACTGATTAATACAAAAAGTACTGCGATTGCTGTTTTGAACAGAGGTTTCCATTAAATTGTCCACACTGAGGTAAACTCTTTTACTGAGTGGTTACAGTTAAGAAAGAACCCAGCTGTTCATTTCTTCCACTCTGCATTACTCTACATTTCTCAACACTCAATTTCATCTGCCACCGTGAAGCCCACTGCCTACCTTTTATTAGGTCTTTCTGAAGTTCCTCAGAGTCCTCACTAGTCATTACTTACCTTACTAACTTTTCATTATCTATGAGTTTTGCCACCGCACTTGGTTACCTCCTTTTCAATTGATATATACATTTTAAAACACCCTTTTAAGATAGTTTTGGTGCCCCAGAGCCCAGAGGGATTTTAATCAGAGGCTGTTTTGTACCATAATTCAAAGGTATCTTTTCTGTCACCATTGTTATTTTGCTGATATTTGGATTTATTTGGACAAACTCATCAGACCCTGAGAAAACATATCCATGTTGATTTTCTCCCTGTTTTGTGTACCAGTTGGTTAGAGGGATTCAATGCTCCAGGAATGAGTGCAGTTTGGGTCCTATGCAACAATCTAATTTCTTTAGTCTTAGTTTCCTGTGTTCCTTCTGAATGCCCATCTGAGTCCTCAATCCTGCTTTATTACATGGCCCTTTACATCTGTGACACACCTAAGCATAAAGTCAGCCTCCTACTTGCTGGTAACCAAATAGTTCTTTACATCATCGTGCTCTGTACTCTGACTTCATGCAAGGTGAGTCTTAAATTGCATATAGCTTTTCACTGCATGGTCGGGGATGGGCATGGAAAGGAAAAAGTGACTTTGAAGATGTAGTAATATCATGGAGGAGGAGATGGCATGAATGGAACCTTTCTTAATTAATGGCTAAATAACTACAATTCCTGTGATTTCAGGCTGCTCTAGCAGGAGGCACCACTATGATCATTGATTTTGCAATACCTCGGAAAGGCTGTTCCCTTGTTGAAGCCTATGACACATGGAGGAGTTGGGCAGACCCTAAAGTCTGCTGTGATTACACACTGCATGTAGCAGTTACATGGTGGAGCAGCCAGGTAGATACAATAGAGTGTGAATGTTATAGTGATTTCTTAATGCTGAATTACTTATGACTAGGTTTTAGCTGTGAAGTGTAGCTTGTGAACATAATTGTATGTATAAAATAAATTAACCAGTAAAGCTTAATGCATGAGCTTTAAAAGCTCACCCTTAGAACAATAGAAATATATTTAAAATGCCATTAAAGTTAAGTGTAAATTAGTGAAATGTTATGGATTTATATTTATAATTCCACCCCATTCTGTAGTTCTACAGTATGCAAATGTAGTTATTCTATCAAGAAAAAAATGGGAAGCCCATACTTTTTTCAGACAAAACAGGAAAGCTGGGCAAACCAGAGAAAGACATGCACATATGCCATTCCCCCTTAATATGCCGCTAGGCTCCTCGTGCTCTAGCAGCTATTGCATCTAATTCTAATTTAATGCAACAGAAAAAATTCTTTAGAATTCATTTACCAGATCCTAGATTACAAAAACAAAACAGACCTATTAGTTTGTCATCTCCATCTGCCCACAATACTTATGTGACTACAGGAGGCCCCCGCTTTATGATGGCCCGCTTTACAACCCCCCTGCACTTATGACTTTTTCCGTAAGTGCAAAAGGGGCCGAAATCCCCCGACTTACATCCTCAGCCCTGCATTTACGATGGCGCACGGTGCCTGTTGTAAATGCAGGCTCGAGTTATGATGCCCCTGACTTGCGAGGCTATCCCCAGAGCTGATCATGTCACAGGGAGCAGCCTGTATAGCAAATGTGCTAAATGTTTGACTCTTCTGACCCAGAGTATATGTTCTAGTATTTTTATCCACTTCAGAAGTCTCTCTTGGGTCTAATGGAACTCACAGGTTCCCTGGAGCAGACCCACCCAGAAGTATGTTGGAAATAAAGTTAATGATCTATAATAATAACCCTCAGAAGATCATAACGCACCAAGCAAACTAACCATCAGAAGTACTGTATTAGCCTCTCCATTTGACTGAGCAGTTAATGCTCCAACCTTGCTGTTGCCAAATTCCTACACCTATGCAGAACCCCATGGTTGCATCCAGGCAGAGTCAGGTTCTAAATGACTTGTCTAAGGTCCCAGGAAGTCTGTGTCAGTTCTTACAATAGAACCTGATGTCAATGTTCAGCACTGTTCCCTGACACTGCCTTACATCACTGTAGAGAAACAATTGTAGCTGGTCACCAAGACCAAGCAAAGAGATTCTTGCTAATGACACAGACTGCAATTTATCAGCCATATTCAGGCCCAAATAGGAGTACATCCTAGAGTGGAGAAGGAAAAGCTTCCCAGATTGCCATACACCCCAGAAAAAGGGCAAGGGAGGCAGGAGGGGCTTCTCAGGTGGGCACATATGTTGATATTGGACAGAGGGGCTCCCCAGATGGGGCTCATGCCCTTATTCTTCCCCTCCAAATAAAGAGACTCTCCAGAATTCTGTAATTTAGCTACTTTCAACCTAAATATAAATTAGGCCACCCACAAAACACACGAGGGCTGGGCCTGGAAATCGTCACCTGGTTGCCGTCACTCTCCCGAGTTCCCTGGATGCCTTTGCCTTTAAACTAATACATTTAACAGAGCAAACACCTCTGCAGGGGTCATTGAATCTATTCGTTTCCATTTTATGTTAGTCCAGAGTATGCTAACTTGCCAAGCTGCCCGGAAAGGAGTTACCTGGAACCCCCCCCAGTAAATTACAAGAAATGAAAATGTAAAAAGCAAGTTAAAGATTTTAAGGCACCGGCCTGTGAGAACCCACTTGATTTCCGAGGAGAGGTTTTGGGACTTAAGGAAAGCCTTTGGATCCAGTTAGTATTTACAGTGGGGAAGAAAGGGGTATGACACATGAATCCCTTTCTTCTTCAGGATATACTGATAGTGATCAGCCATTTGAGTCCACTCAACCTGGAGACCCCGCGCAAGAGGCAAAGGAGGTTTCCATGTACAAGTTGGATCTCCCAGGTGCAGCACCCTTGGGACCTGACTGGTCCCAGATGTGGGATTTTTCCAGAAAGCGGAGGTCATTTTTGGACCCCTTCCACCAGCCCCACTGGCATCCCAGCCAGCTCCCCACCTCCTGCTGGCCCCATTGCCCTGCCGACCCTCTGGGCAACCAGCACTGCTGTGGATCCACAGGCTCCAGGCATCCGCATGTACCACGTGCTGAGGCTCCGGACAGCTGTGCGTGTCGGGGCTCCTTGGGCAGCCGCACGTATCGCATGCTGTGGCTTCCTGAGTGGCCATGTGTGCCATGTCAGGGCTCCACGAGCACCCTCATGCATCACATGCTGGGGCTCCCTGGGCAACTGCATGCTCACTGCCCACCAGGGCTCCCAACCCTGCGCTGGGTGGCTCCATTGTCAGCTCCCTGTGGGCAGCCCACTGCCCTGCCGGCCCCGCAGAGATCCTTACTGCTGCTCCTCTACCGGGATTCTCTGGTCTTGCAACATCCATTCCGGCCCATGGATTTTACCAGACCAGAGAATCCTGGTTAAGAGAGTTTGAACCTGTAGATGATTTGATTTATTTATGGAAACTAGGGCAAAAGTTCCCAAATGGCTGAATAATACATAGCCCCAGGTCACAGCAGACAGCACAATTAGTCATTCCAGACTTGTCCTTATTGTTTGAGTGTGCTAGAGGTTAATTCCCAGCAGGAGCACAGCAGGTTTCGGGCAAATAAAATGTCATTGGCTTGTTCATTATCCTCATCTCCTCATGGAACGTTAGCACGGCTGATAGAAGTGGGAAAGCTAACTATTATACTTTTATACAGTGGCGCTGTGGAAATTTCTGACATTGTTTTTCTTTCAGGTCAAGGAAGAAATGAGAATTCTTGCTGAGGACAAAGGTGTCAACTCCTTCAAGATGTTTATGGCCTATAAAGATTTGTATATGGTTGGCGATAGTGAATTATATGCAGCTTTTTCCCAGTGTAAGCAAATTGGAGCAATTGCTCAGGTCCATGCAGAGAATGGGGATTTGATTGCAGAGGTAAGTGTTGGATGAAGTGATTTTAAAATGTGGAAGACAAAGGTACGTAAATGCTCCCCATTCCCACAATATCAGACTGTCTAACTTTAGTGTGATGTAGCCAAATACTTCTGGGGAACTGAGGTTAAGTGACTTGCCCAAAGTCTCTGTGGTGGAGCACAGAATTAAACTCAGGTGTCCTGAATGCTATGCAAGTGTGCTAACCAGTGGCCCATTTGATTTTCAACAGTCCCTTGATGATCAGTGAGTCTACTTACTGCAAAGTAAATCATCAAATTCTTTTTAGGGCCTGTCCCAACACTGTTGAATCCAACAGGAGTCTTTCAAATGACCCTGGTGAGCTTTAAATCAGGTCCTTAGTATTTCTGAATTTCCTTTAGGCATGTCAGATAAACACCTGTGCATGAACACAAAGGCTAATATTGTTTGTTTATTACATGCACAGTCTATCTCTCTTAATAGTTAGTGTGTTGTGTTTATATGCAGAAAGCAAAGAGCTCTGAGTAGGGCCAGGTGTTTGTGGTGGGTTAGGAAATGATCCTGCTATAATAAAAAGCATTACTACACAGCTGCCAAGAAGACTGAGCAGAGAAGAGCAGGGTTGAGGTCAATGAAGGGAACATTTGGCTAAGTGCCCCTGTGACATGATGAGGACAATACTTAGCTTCAGGTCTCCTTTTCATGCCCCGTTCTATTTTACCCATGTGTTTAATAATAATGGAGCCAGGCACACATTGGACTCTGCACTGGGTGAGCACAAGTCTTAAGGCCCCCATGTCTATTTCTCTGTGTCACCACCTAAGCACCACCCTGTGACTTACAGACTCCAGCCCAAGAGTTTTCAGAAATTCTTCAACTACTTTCACCATAGACGTTTCAGTAATTGGAGTTCCTGAGTAAAGAATGGATTTGTCACTAAACTACAAACCAGAGAGTGTTTAAGGTCTTGTAACACAATGTCAATTATAATACTTAGTGCTTCTCACCTAGCCCCTTTTCATCCTTAAACCCCCAGTACTTTACATAGGTCAGATGGTCAAGTATTTTTATAATGTGGATAAGTATCTATGCTACTGATTGGTCCACTTGGGCACCTAGATGTTTGGGGTGGGATCTTGAAAAGCACCTAGGCAGCTTTGAAAGCTAATAGCACTAATGTTTCTAATTGTCAGTTAGGCATTTTTTTAAATCCTTACCCTAAATACTGGCATCTGGCCTTTGGCTTTGGTGGGAGCAGAAGTAAGCCAGTGCTGAGTGCTCTTGAAAATCCCACCCTATGTCAATTGCCCGGTGTCTGGATTAGAACACAGATCAGATGAGTGCTCAGTTGGCCAAGCCACTGCTGCTCTTACATAATTGATACTGCTAATTAAACAGCACTAACATATATGTATTCATGTGTGATATGTAGGGTGCGAAGAAGATATTGGCACTGGGGATAACTGGCCCTGAGGGACATGAACTGTGTCGTCCTGAAGAGGTCGAAGCAGAAGCCACAATGAGAGCAATCACCATAGCAAACTCAGTTAACTGCCCTCTATATGTAGTTCATGTAATGAGCAAATCTGCAGCGAACGTGATAGCTAATGCACGAAGAGAAGGTAACTGTCCTACTGCTCCTTCATGTTTGGTCCAGGACCTGTGAGTAATGGCCCTGCTTGCTGAAGGATGGTAATAGGAAGGTGTATTAGCTAGCTCCTTAGTTGGGGGTTTTGTCAGGGGTGTGAGGATGGGAATAATAGTTGGGAGGTGGTTAGAGGCTTTTTAAGCAGCTGACAAAGGAGAAGAGAAACAGTCACTCTGAGCAGTACGTGGAGGCTGAGTGTGCTTGTCCTCTGTGTGTTAGACATATACATTTGGTCACTGCTATGCCATGGCATAGAAATATAAAATACTGAGACTGTCAGAGTCAGCTGCTGCTTTAATAAAAATAAAATAGTTCCTTTAATTGCAAGAGGAAAACCTCTATCGAATTTTCATTATTTGCTTGTTGTCTGAGGAATTCAGAAAGCAGAAAATGGGGGCACTTGCGGGTAGCCTGGACATCAACTGCATGCTGCCCTTACCCACACCAGCTTTAGTCTTGTCTTTGCCCTGATGTTCTGAATTATTAGTGCACTTGCTTTTTCATCAAGTAGTGGGCTGTTGCATTCAGGCTGGTTAACATTGGTATATGAACAGGCAGGCACTCACTCATTTTGGGTGCCCAACTTGGGGCATCACATCCCAGATGTGAGTTTCCCCTCCCCGAACTTTAAAGGGGAGGGCATGGTCTCCCCTGATTTTTCTTCACATGTAAAAATAGTTAAAAAATGCCTCAAATCCAGCCATGGCAGTCAATGGGAAGGAAAAGGTTTCTGACTTTTTGGATTCACCAACCATTTTGAAGGGTCTGATGAAGTGGGTTTTGCCCATGAAAGCTCATGATTCTATATATTTTGGTTAGTCTCTAAGGGTATGTCTACACTACCCCGCTAGTTCAAACTAGCGGGGTAATGTAGGCATACCGCACTTGCAAATGAAGCCCGGAATTTGAATTTCCCGGGCTTCATTTGCATAAGCGGGGATGTTTTTACAACCATTTTCCACACTGAATGTGATGTTCCATGGGTATTTTTGAAAGCTAGCAATATTTAACCCAGGCACTAATCCTGCTTTAATTTAAATCCAAGGTAGCAGGACTAGGTTTTTGCTCTGTAAACTCCCAGGTTTAATAGCTCAGGGAAATTATATGAAGTGTTTGAAAGTTCTTGACAGGGGGTATGTCTACACTACCCTCCTAGTTCGAACTAGGAGGGTAGTGTAGACATACCCTAAGGACAAATCATTGTTTTTAAAGTTACAGATGATCACGGTTACTTCTGTGAGATTTTCTGACCTGGCAACAAACTGAAAAATCATCTATTCACACTGCTCTAACCATAATGAAAGGGGCTCAAATCCTTATGAATTACTAGCACTTTTGCTTCCTTTTTGATCCAAATTGATCCATGGATGCTTCAGATTTCCCTGCCTATGCATTTTAAATACTAGCCTACCTTATAAGCTTGATTAGTTTGTATAAAGCGTTTTGAGATAGTGGATGGAAAGTTCGATAGAAATTCCAAATAATGTTGCTACAGGTCGGATTAAGGTAATGTTTACCCACCTCCTAGTGTGAAGAATAGACATATTGGAGATAGAAACTGTGTTATGGTATTCTAATAAGACTGTCTGCTAATGCAAATATGTAAAAGAATTTTTTACCTGTCAGCAATGGATTATCAATACTGTGCTAAACTAGATTTGTCCACTAGGTGACACTGTTGGTAGTAATGTGGAATCCAACTTGCTGTAATGCCTTTGCTCATTTATTCAATGATGTGCTGTCAGAATCCAATATAAGAAACTGCAAAATCAGTTAAAATGTCCAGGCGAAAGCAGAAATGTTGACAAGCAAATTGGAAAGACCTGATGACAGGAAAAGGGTATTTTGCACTGTGTTGTCAATCAGGAATTCTGTGATACTGGCAAAAGATGTAACACACTTATAAGGTCTCCTTCATGTTTCATCTCTGTCCTGGAGTCTAGGCAGGGTTACTGGTGTCTAGGTGAAAAGAACAAACTGGTAACATTCTGCTCCCTACTCCCTTGAAAAAATCTAGAATTACATCATTGAGTTGCTCCATTCTCACATGAGAGAATAAGGTCTGGCCTATGCTTAAAAGTTGTATTGGAAAAACTTTTACTTCAGTTAGGTGTGTGGGTTTTTTTATGGAAACAGGTCATACCAGTAAAAGCCGCAGTGTAGGTGCTGGTATAAAGATAGTATATGCAGTAGCTTATTCTGTCTCTCCTCCGGAATAGCTATACCAATACAAGCACTTTGGTTTTGGTATAACTGTACATATTTTGTGGGAAGGGGAGGGAGTACCACTTACCCTGTAGTTAAAGTAATAAAACGTTCTATTATAATCAGGGCCTGAGAGTGGAATTTGATGAATGAAAAAGTTCATCACCATTTAAAAAAAAAAAAGATTGATCCCAAACTGGCCAAATTATAAACAATATGTCACTGCATAGTAAGATTGCTGGACTAATCATATAGAACAACATCTTTGGAGACCATTCTAGCTAAGGCTCAGTTAACAGGTCAGATTAGGCTCTGAACTGCAGATATGTAAATCACACTTCTGAAAATGGGACTTAGGCTCCTAAATGACTTACATGCTTCTGAAAATTATATCCCAGTAAGCAACATACAAGGATCAGATTTTCAAGTATGACATGATTTCAATTGATGGTTTTACCTCTCCTTGAACTGCTGAGAGGTTTGAAAATAAATCTAAAGCAGGCACAGTGTTTAATGATGCACCAATTCATGTGGAAGCCAGTACCAACCTAGCTAAATGTTTAATGAAGAGACAACTAAGAACCACAAGTATTTTCAAACAGAGCAGACTTTAAAGTATAGCAGAAGTAGTGAGAAAAATGAGAAGGGGCTTGCTTCCTGCTTAGTATTTGTATTAAATAAAAGAAAATGTGACACATGCAAAGGTCTGATCTGTCACTACACTATAAGCACAAGCAATATGACCTAATAAAGCCTTCCCTCAGAATGTCTTTGCTTGCTGGTTTAATGCAGGTTCTAAGATTTTTTTTTTTACCTCTAAATGCAGTGAGTCAGTCAGAATGAAATGCAAGGAATAGTAAAATCAGCAAAAATGTCCAAATTTAATCTGGCAAAGCTGTAGCACTCTAGACTCAAGGTTGTTATTGAAAATGAATCTGCAGGTTTCTGCTCCTTGCCACTCATGGGAGCAGCTTAGGTTATGTTCTGACTGCAGAAACTTTCTCGTGAGTGGTGACACGTGAGCCAGAAATAACCAGTTTGATGCTTGCATCCCAGGGTATGTCTACACTGCACGCTCATTTTGAAATAGCTGTTTCAGAATAGGCATTATTCCTCATAGAATGAGGTTTACAGATTTTGGAATAAGCCGTCCGTTATTTCAAAATTATTTTGAAACAATGGAATGGTTGTGTAGATGCTTGCATTGTTATTTTGAAATAACACTAGTTATCTTGAAATAACGCTGCAGTGTATACGCTCCCCTAGTGTGGGCTGAGAACTGGAAACATCAAGGCACTTGTGTGCGCTGAAGCTCAGATCCAGTCCAATCAGCTAACAATCACAAACCACTGTACAATGCCATTTTGTGGGCTTTTTTCAGTCATTCACAGTGACATTTACTTTGGGTAGAATTCTCTCTTTTGCTGCTAAGCCAGCCCTAGCCAGAGGAGAATTCCATCTGGCACAGGCATTGTGCAAGCACAGTTGCCACAAGATCCAGAGGAAGCAGCCTGATGAGTGTGGGAGAGGAATGTTGCAGGTTGAAAATGTAAGTGGGGCTGCCCCACACAGGTAGCTGAAGAGAAGTTGCTGCAACCAGAGCAGACTCTCAGAATTGTCTGTTAGCTGGGAGATCTCTCAAATCCTTAGAGCAGCACAGAATTGGAAGAGCACAAATGTAGCCCAAAGTCACATTATAACACACTCCCCCTAAGGCCATGGCTGTGAATTCTGTGCTGAATCCCATCCTTTAACATTTGAAAATAAATGGACAAAATAAAAAAGAGTCTACTGCTTAGGTCTTGGGACAGAGTCCTGGGGTTCCCAAAGCCCATCTTCTGTTTTTTGTATCTTTCTCCTCCTCTCTCTGCCTAATTCCATAACACAATTAGATACATGGGACTAGAAACTTAAAACTCCACAAACCAAAGGCCAAGTAATAAAGAGAAAAAATAACATTCCACGGTATGTGACAAAGCAAAGAACACTGGGCCAATGGGAGAAGATAAAGAATACGTGTCCTGAGAAATCCTGAAACCATCCGGTAACGAGTGTAACTGGAGCAATGCTGGTTGCAGATATATAGGGATTGATCAAAGTTTAAAAATGGTCATAAGGCATTTTTGTATACCTAATCTTCACAAAGCAATTGAGGAATGATATGACACTTGCTGAGAATGTTACTTAAAGAAATGCCAATCACCAAAGAAAGGCATTGCTTGTATTTTTGAAAATTTCAGTAAATTGAATGAATGAGTTGCTTGCTTTTAGTGCCTTTTGTTGACAACTCACAGGCCTTCACAAAGTAATGAATTTCAGACTGGTAATACAGTTATGGTATATGCAAAGACAACAGTCACATAATTCATATACACATCAGAATCTGGTTGATTGAGATATAGCTGGTTGATTAGGCTGTGTCTTTCCCCTTTCAGAAGGTGTGAATGAACATTTAATTTCTATTGGAAGAGCCACAAATAGAAAATACCCCTTGAAGGAGACCTGAAACTAGAATAGCACCTGTAATATTGCCACATTCTTCCCTCATTTGCTGTTAGCACTGGATAATAATTCAAGCCCTTGAGGTAGAAACATTTCCTACAATCTTCTAGCCCAGAGAAAAATGAAAGAAATTGATCCATCCAGTCACCTGTGTGAATACTGTTACATGGCTGTTTGCAATGTCAATATATTTTCTGACACAGCTTCTCCAGTATGGGTCAAAGCTTTTTGACAGCCATTACAGCATGAGTCTAAGTATCTATCAGATGTATATGATAGTACATATACTTTTGTAGTCTACATGCTTATGATTGGAGCTGAGCTTTTCTGTCCCACAAAATTCTGCCCACTCTGTATCATGGTGGTAAAAATATAGGAAGGGGAAAAAGGAACGGAAGCTGTAGTCTGGTGGGTAGAGTACTCACCTGGAATATGGGAGTTTGGGGTTCAATTTTCCTGTTCTAAACCTGAGTTCCCCACATCCCAGACCAGTGCTTGAATGTTAGTGTTTTTCATGCTGCAGCTTTGAACAGAATTTCCATCCTGGACCCAAAAGACCTTTCCCCCCACAAGAGTGTTGGTTTTGACCCATTGTGATTTTTTTTTTGTAATAAAAAATGATTACATCCAAAAGTTGCTGATCAGCAATCCTTATGAGAGGCAGTACCTGTGCATCTCACAGTTTTTAATGTATTTCTCTTCCTACTCCCTCTCTGAGACAGGACAGTGCTAGTATCCACATTTTGCAGATGGGAATCAAGGCACAGAGCAAGTGAGTGTTTATCCTGAGATGATGCAGGAAACCTGTGGTAAAGAACTGGACTAGAGTCCCCTGAGCCCGAGGCTAATGCCTTAATCACCAGACCATCCTTCCTTTCTTCCCTGATCTTCCAGTGACAAAGCTGATATCTAAAAATCATGGCAACTTTGCAACCTGTCACTGCGCACCAGACTGCTAATAAACAACACCTAACTCCAGCAGTCTGGCTGTCAGGTGTAGATGTGTTGTGGCATCCCCATGTACAGATAAAACATTGAGCCAAACAGAAGACCAGTTTTTAGGAAACAAATGTGTTCAAATTTTGCATTTATATTTTACTACAACTCATATCAAAGCATGGAGCTCCTGCTCCACTAGCAAAACATTTATACTCAATTAAGTTTCCATGAAGCTTTGTAGGTGCACCTGTGAAGGTTGATGAATTCTACAACAGTGGGATACCTAACACCCCATGAAAAGCACAAGTATAGTTTTGTGACAGCAACTACTGAGTTCAATCCTGGCTCTGATGCTGAAACCTTCAGTAATCCTGGGAGAACTGCTTAGCCATGTTTGCTTTAGTTATCCCATTTGTAAAATAGGGATAGTAAACCATGCTTATCTCCTTCATAATGGTATGGTAAGGACTAATTAGTTTATGCTTGTAAAATGCTGTACCTAGATCCATAACAAGCATTACAGTTTATTCCCTTTAACAGGCTTCAGAGTAGCCGCTGAGCAGAATAACATTCTCTCCCCCACCCCCAGAAACACAGTAGTCACACCAGGGACCACTGTGATATTTTGCAAAAACTATGAGGAGTCCTGTGGCACCTTAGAGACTAACAGATTTATTAGGGCATAAGCTTTCATGTATAAATCCCACTTTATCAGATGAATTAGAATGGAAATTACAGAGACAGGAAAGCATGGAGGGATGGAAGTACTGGTTATAACAAAAGGAGGGAATTAATTATCAAGTATAGGACCAATGTTAAAAAGGCCAATTCAATGAGGGTAGATGTGGCTCATTCTCAATAGCAAATGTGGAGGTGTGAATACCAAGAGAGGGAAAACTGACTTTCTAGAGAGATCATCTAAATCCTTATTCAGTCCTAATTTTATTGCATTAAATTTGCAAATGAATTGCAGTTCTGCTGTTTCTATTTGTAATCTGGTTTTGAAGTTTTTTGTGGAAGGATGGATGTTTACTATTACTAAATGTCCAGAGAAGTTAAAGTATTCACATACTGGTTTATGCATTACCTTTCTTGATGTTTGATTTGTGTCCATTTGTCCTTTGGTGTAGAGACTGTCCAGTTTGGCCTATATATCTGGCAGAGGGGCATTGCTGGCACATGCTGGCTTATATCATGTTAGTAGATGTATAAGTGGTTCAGCCTCTGATGTTGTGGCTTATGTAGTTAGGTCCTGTAATGGTGTCACTTGTACTGTTGTGTGGACAGAAGCTGATCAATAACATATTGATCCTATTACCCTATACTGGAAACCTACCAATGGATACATTTACCTTCATGCCTCTAGCTTCCATTCCAGACACATTTCTTAATCTATTGTATACAGCCAAGAGCTAAAATACAACCGGATTTGCTCCAATCCCACAAAAAGAGACAAACACCTACAGGATCTATATAGAGCATTAGTAAAACTGAAATACCCACCTGGTGAAGTGAAAAAACAGATCAACAGAGCCAAAAAAGTATTCGGACATGAACTACTTCAAAACAGACTCAAAAGAGAAAACAACAGAATTCTAGTTGTCATTACCTACAGTCACCCTCCAATGCATTATCCACAATCTACAATCTATCTTGGAAAATGACCCCTAACTCTGAGGCCTTGGGGGAAAGGCCTATTCTCGTTTACAGACAACTCCCTAACCTGAAACAAATCCTATACAGTAACCACATTATACAGCTACATCATAAGCATCCAGGAACCAAGCCCCGCAATCAACCCCGGTGCCAATTCTGTCCACACATCTAAACAAGCAATTTCATAACTGGACTCAACCACATCAGTTACCAAATCAGAGGCTCATTTAATTGCATATGCAGTAATGTAATCTGTGCCATCAAATGCCAGCAATGCCCCACTGTGATATATAGTGGACAAACTGGACAGTCCCTATGGGAAAGAATTAATGGACACAAGTCAGATATCTGAAAAGGCAACACACAAAAACCTGCTGGGGAACACTTTAACCTCCCTGGACACTCATTTAGGGATCTACAAGTTGCTATTTTGTTTCAGACCAATTCCACAAGCTAAATACACAGAGAAATATTGGAACTCCATTTCATTCTCAAGTTTAACTCGTGCAAATGGTCTAAATTGCGATATCAGATGACTCTCACATTATCAACCAACCAAACACTGAAGGTGCCAATGGTTCTTGATGTCTCTGTAGAATCTGATGTTAGTACTCTTCCTTTCCTAGTGCAAACTGATGGTTCTGATCAGCCTTTTTTAACTATTTAGTCTTTAAGGTGCTAATAGACTGTTGTTTTTTAAGTTTTTCCTGTTACAGACTGGCTCAGCTATCTCTTTGAAACTTATCTACCAAATGTCCTTTTTTTCCTCTCCCTTTCCATTTTTTCCTCTCTTCCCCCCAAGGAAACCACTAGATCTTACGAATGGCTCTTATCAACCTCTTTTCACTATTTAGTCTTTAAGGTGGTGTTTGTTGTTTTTGAAGTTTTTCCTGTTACAGACTGGCTGTGCTAACCCTGTGAAACGTATCTACCCAATATCTTCTTCCCCCTCCTCCAATTTTTCCCCCTTCTCCCCCTCCTTTCCTTATTTATTCTTGGTTCTGGACTTCCAACACAATGATCATCTGAAGAAGTGGATTGTGCCCACGAAAGCTCACGATACCATCTACGTGTTTTGTTAGTCTTTATAGTGCTATCAGACTATTTGTTGTTTTTAAAGTTTTTCCTGTTACAGACTAACTCGGCTACCCCTCTGAAACTTATATTCACAACAGGCACTATATGACAAGTATACATGTTGTATTCTTCTGTGCATGGTATCTAGTTTAAAATGACAGACTATTCATGTTTTTTCAAATTTAAATCCAATCTCTTCAGGAAGAACGGGGAAGAGAAACTACAAAATAAGCAATTTGTTGTCGTAAATGTTTTTTACTGATTAGATTAACTCTTCGTGTTTTTCAGGGAAGGTAGTATATGGGGAACCTATTGCTGCTAGTCTTGGTACAGATGGCACTCACTACTGGCATAAGGAATGGCATCATGCCGCAGGACATGTCATGGGACCTCCACTGAGGCCAGACCCTTCAACACCTGGTTTCCTCATGGACTTATTGGCCAAGTAAGCAGACTAAAAAGCAATGGCAAGTTCTACTGTATTGTGTAAGAGAGCCATTTAAATGATTTATTAATGGGTCACAGCCTCAGCACTTTCTGTATCCAAATACATAAGTAAAGCTGCTAGCAAAGGAGTAGTGGGGCAGCAAGGCTGTACTTTGTCAGGTGGCAGAATCTATTACCATGCCTTGGGAAGCAGGGGTTCTCGCTTTACCCTTTTGGTTTACAGCAGTTTGAGCCCTGCATCAAACTGCTGAGTCAATTCTATAAGACTCCATTGTGCCAGTTAGGGCTTCTTAGGTCCAGAGGCATGACCCTCTGCTCAGAAGGAAGGAGAGGCAGATGGGGGGGGGGGCCTCAGAAACTCTTAGGAAACCAGCCATGAAGGGAATTTTTAAGTTGAGTCTTATTTTGTTGGTACAGTCACCAATAAATTCAAATCTCAAGAGGGGGATAAATTTGTCATTTTGCAGCATTTGCAGATGTGGGGCCTGATTCTCCTCTCATTGACACTGGTCAGAATTAGGAGTAATGCTGCTGAACTCCAGTAACAATGGTGTATAGTAAAATGAATGAGAGAATAGAATCGGTCCCTTTGGTTGAGGCAAAGGATGGATGCTGCCTGCACACAGAAGACCTTTGAAATAATCTAAAACGAAGTTTAGAAAAGTTGGATGTCTCCCTTTGGGTGTGGCAGGAAAAAACTGCATTGCAAAGGGACATTGGATGTCTCTACTTGGCAGAAGCTACTCTTCATGGAGGCAAGGAACTGAACTGAAATTGGTGGTTCTTTCCAAAAGGAATAGCTGGGCATAGCAAGTCTTCTTGCAAGATCTCATATCTACAGGAGTGCGATGGCAAACTTCACTTCATGGCATATCTTGTTTCTTTACAGTGATGACCTAACTGTGACGGGAACTGACAACTGCACCTTTGACATCTGTCAGAAAGCTCTGGGGAAGGATGATTTCACCAAGATCCCTAATGGGGTGAATGGTGTTGAGGACAGGATGTCTGTCATATGGGAAAAGGGAGTGGTGAGTTTTTTTTTTCCTCATGATTAAGCTGATGGTGGAGCAGAAAAATCCACCAATACCACCAACAAAGGCTAATGTAATTTCTTAAAAACACCACCTCTTCAAATCCCTTAGTGCTTGTCTACACAGCAGGGCTAAAGCCAAAATAGGCTACACAACTTCACCTATGACAATTATGTAGCTCAAGCCAAAATAGCTTATTTTGGTTTTTGGTGCTGTCTACACAGCAGGAAGTCAGAGGTAGACCACTCTTCCTCCATCTTCCCTTACTACTCATAAAATGAGGGTTACAGGAATTGGAGTAAGAAGTCCTCCAGCTCGCCATTATTTCGACATTATGTCAAAATACCTGCTTGTAGTGTTGATGCGGTTATTCTGAAATAACACTTTATGTGTTCATTTTTTTAATTGTATCCTTTGGTATATATGGTTGTGACTATTTTCATCCACTATTTGATCTGAGGAAGTGGGTCTGGCCCACGAAAGCTCATCATCTAATAAACCATCTTGTTAGTCTTTAAAGTGCTACATTGTCCTGCATTTTACTTCTGTGTAGACATACCCTTGGAGAATCTGGTTAGATGAAGCAGCATGGTTGGACCCAAATGCAATATTTGGTAACACATTTTCAATTCCCATTATCTCCAGATTCTCAGTGACCTCAAAAGAGGTGCTCAGCATCTCTCAGGCCCAGGCCCTTTGGACTATAAACAAAAACAAACACTGACAGCTAGCAGTCACGTTCTTCAAACTATTTTCACTAAAGCTAGAAATCTAAATAAATGCCCTGACTTTCAGAAGTGTTGATTACCTACCTTACACTGGGTGAGCTGGCACTGGAATGAAGAACACTCTAACCAGTTCAGTACTATTAAAAGTTCTAGAGAATGTTGGGTGAACTGATCTCCTTTACCCTGGTGAATATGGATTCCTTGCTGATAATGTAAGTTCAAAATCTAATATATAAGGAGAATGTTTATAAGTTTGTGCGCTAATAACTTGGACACTATAAGAGCTACTGCAACCAAACTTTCCATGGGATAACCTTTCATCCAGGAGAAGGTTTTAAGGTACTTTTGGACCCAATTGAGCCCAAGCTCAAGCTGTAAAGACCAAAAAGTTGCCTGCCGTGCTGCGCTGCAGGGGCTGCCCCGCCCACTCTAAGTCCCATGCCTGCTGCCTGCGGCCCCTAGCGCTGTCCAGAACTCGCTCCCTCCTGCCTGTGAGGTTACATAAGTGACCCTCTTTCCCCCTCCCTCCCGCGCCGGCACGCAATGCCCTAACCCCCCTGTGCACAACGGCTCAGGCATCTGCCCTGCCCCTCACGGCACCTGCAGCCCCAGGCACAAACTGGGGCGCTCCTCCTGCGTGTAAACTTCCCTCCACCTGGGGTTGCACCCGCCACCTCCGGGAATGACGTAGACCTATATTTTAATCCCTATAGAAATCAGTGCAACTTTTCTACCATTCAAAAAAAGATAACGGACTACTGTTTTTCTATATTTTGTTCCTCCAGTTTCCCAAGCAACACCGGGTAACTCCAGCTAGTATATTTATAATTTAAGAACTGCCCACCTCTCTCAATCCAGTTTGTTGATTGTATTATAATCTATTTTGTAAATCTGTATTTGGATGCAAAGCAAATAATCATCTTATACCCTCTGGGTGGTATTCTGTCCTGATTTATACTCTATGTAATGTCAGGGAGATTTCCAAGGGGGTAAATCAGGACAGTATTTGCCTCTAGATTATACTATGCAAGTGAGTCATTAGACACACACCATTTGCTGTTTTTGAAAGTGCCACACCTTGCTCATAATAACTTTTCAGGAAAAGTCACCAAATAGGACTTACTCATTAAATCTCTCTCTCTCTTCATAATTGTAGAAAGTTATGGTGATTTTTTTTATAGCAAAAAAATGTTCTCCTTCCAAAGTATCAGTACATTTAAGGCCATCATAATTTCTTTCCTCTCATTTTTCTCCCCATCATAAATCTTCATTCCACTTAATTTAATTTAGTATGTTTATTGAGCAATACCAGCAGAGAAAAGATTTACAGACCATCTTTCTGTGTTGCATAGTTCAGTGTTGCCTTGTTACCATGTTAATGCCTGCATTGTCCCTCTTAAAATAAGGGATAAGGGATCTTTTGGAAAAGGCTTTATTTTCCAAAAGATCCGCATCTAGACTGGCGCTTTTTTCCGGCAAAGGTCCATGACGAAAAAAAGCGGCAGCCATTTTTATGCTAATGAAGCGGGGGAGATTTAAATCCCTGCTTCATTAGCAATTGCTATATGTCTAATTTGCATCCCTTTTACAAAAAAGGGATGCAATCTAGACGTAGCCAGCGTGTGTCTGTGTCATGATAGTCACACGTGCTTCATGTAAACATTAATAGTTAGCCATTGAAAAGATTGGTGTGGTGTTAGCTGAGACCTCTTCATCACTCAGCCATGTGTTTTTGATTACAGGAATTTATTTTATTCCTTCCTGACAAAATTAGCATTTTTGTTTCCATGTACTGTTTTGCAGCACAGTGGTAAAATGGATGAAAACAGATTTGTAGCAGTTACCAGCACAAATGCAGCTAAAATCTTTAACCTTTACCCAAGGAAAGGCAGAATTGCTGTGGGTTCTGATGCTGACATTGTTATTTGGGACCCAAAAGCTACAAGGTAGGTCTGAGTAATCAAATCCTGTCCTTCCAGACTTTTCTGTGGGAACAAGATATATGAAAGCACCTTGTATTGCAGTAAGTCCCCAGCAGGGGTGGGAAGTGTGTGAGGGCAGGTCTTATTTTAACAGCACTGCATATACATTATTTACAGGCTATTATTTGGCACTTACCATAGTGGATCTAAACAGACATCTAGACAGAGTGTAAATGTTTTTCTGGACTGCTGATTTTATAGAAAAGCAACAAGTTTTATGCATTATACTAAATACCCCTGTGTCTGAGGAATAAAACTAACTCCTGAAGTTAGTGCTAAGCTCTGTTATACTGGTCAGTCACTAGGTGGCGCTGATTGTCGAATGCCGTATGTATTGGCGTGGTTAGCTTACATACTGCATGTAAGCTATGCAGTAAAAGGATGTTATACACCTCTCGGGTATGTATCTCTGATAAGGAAGCTCTGTTGTCAGTGTATATCTGCTACAGAAGCCTGGCCTTCTAGAAGCAGCCAGGCAACCTACTTTGTGCATGACACTAACCACGCTGAGACCTCTGTGTAACTATGAGCCATGCCAGCTCAGGTCAGCCTCCCACAAGTGCTTGAGCTGGGAACAGGACTCAAGGGCCCTAGCACAGTCCTAGTCCTTGAACTCATGGAGGTGAGGGCTGCTCTGGGCTAGTACTTACTCTAAGCCCCTGTCCCAATCTCTTAAATTACTGTCACCCACTGGTGAGCACATGTTGTAAGTTCTCTGCCACAACAGGTTTTGGCTCCAGCTATGAAAGTGCAGTTTTCCTGTGGGTGTCTCTTCAGTCAGCGAGGCTCTGCTTCCATCTGTGGGCAGTTGAAATTTAAGTTCA